TACAGTTTACAACGTCTACCCCACTCTATCCTTCATACCCACCAGCCCATCTTTTCATACCGCAAGAGCCATATGACCCCTCTTCTCTTCCTTCCATGCCTCACAGACCTATCGAGTCGCCAAACTCAATACAGTTTCCACAGTCCCAGACGCCTTTTAAGTCGAAAAACAGCCAACAAAGTTTTGCAACTTCTCAGCAAAAACTCCCTTACCAGAAGCCTTACTCAAGTAAAAAAATTGACTCTGCAAGTCCAAAGAAAAGGCCATCGAACGAGAAAGAGAAGAAAGAACGTGAATGGAGAAAAAAGTTGAAAAAAGACGCTTTATTCTCAAAACTGAAACAGCAGGAAAGAGAACGGTGGTTACAGTTACGGATGAACTATTTAAGGAGCGGAAAAATACCGCCTTCACACCTACTGGCAAGGCCAACAAAGCCGGCACATTCTGAAAGTTTTAGAACTCCCAACCTCCACGACGGTACTTATTTTTGAATTCACTGTTAAAAAACATCAAAGGACTTTGAAAAGCCTAAAAATTACACTTCTATACCTTATCGTTTTACCGAACATTGCACGTTCATGTTTATTACATTCCAATATTTTTATTTAGAAAAACTCTATATAAGTGGCTTTTCTGTTCATAACTTTGAAACTTTTACCACATACCACCGCAAATTTCAAAACTTTCTAGCTCCAAGAGTTTCGACCTCATCTATCACTTATCCTTTGCCACGACCAACCAGCGCCTATTCACCCATAATGTCTCCTACAATGACAACATCTTCAAGACCAAGACCATCTCCGTCGAGTCTAGTATCGACAACTGTTACCACAACCGCAGCACCAAAAATTCCTGAACATAAGCTTGCCCCGTTAGAAACAGAAGAGTTGCAGAAACCTAGCAGTGAGAAAGATCGAAATGATGAGTCCTATTCCGACGAATATGATGAAAGCGCTGATGCTTACGATGATCCTCTTCAATTTTTCTTGCGGATGAAACAAAGCAACAAAAAGTCACAACAAGAGGTGGAAACAACGGATTCTGACGGATATTTTTATGCAGATGACGAAACAGGTCTGTGAAGCAGTGAGTCTTTTTCGCTACTTTAGTTCGTATGAAGTTGACCAGTACGCTTTTTCCCAAACTTTGCTTATGGAAAATTAGAGATTTCTTTTCTAGTGTGATGGTCTCCTTGTGATAACCAAATTTTTTGCAGATAATAACTGGATGGAAACTGACTTGAGACCTAACAGTGAGTAGCGGCCTTTTGAAATTGGTCGCAGAATTCTTTTCACATGATTATTGTCGATTCAGAAATTCTAAATGATGGAAAAGTTGCCAAAATATATGAATCCTCTGTTTGCATCCTTCGATATTTTGACTGAATTCTATTTGCTCCTCTTTGAAA